GGGAAAGGAGAACGTGGTGGCGGACTGGCTCTCTAGGGCCATCATGATCAACGCGGTAGAAGAGGACGGGGGAGGACCATCGCGAGACGTGCGCCAATTCTTGAGTGAATGGACTCCCGATGGCGAAGGAGCGGATGATATCGTCGGTATAGATGACAGGGAAAGTCCCCGGAAGAGGAGAGCTCAGCGGAGGAAAGAGCAGTGGAAATGGAGGAGATAGACGACATCATCAATGACAAGCATCGTCAGGTAATCTGGAAAACGAGAGTAGCAGGGATGATGAAAATAGATTATCGAAGATATGGGAAAAGCAAGATTCGCGTCATCTGGTCGCAACCCGGGGTGAGTGAAGAGCAAATTTGTACGGCACTGAAGGACGCCACGGAACCTGGAAAGACGCACCATCTTTATGTTGGGAATAACACGGTATGGGATAAAATAAAGCGGATGTGGAGATCCGAGCGAATTGGTGTGGACAGAACACTCATCCGTTGCAAGTACGCAGTGGAAACTATACAGGATGAGGAACAGCAACAGGCAGTCACATTAGCTTATCACCAGGGGAAAACCAACCACCGAGGCGTGAACGAGACACTGCAGGCATTACGTCGAAAGTATTTCTGGTGGGGCATGAAAAAATCCATCCAAGAGGTCATAGGGAAATGCGAGGTGTGTATGCGCACGAAATATGATCGACACCCCCCCAGAGGGATTCAGGAAGAGACACCGACGGGGAATATGCCACTACAGGACCTCCAGATTGATACATTTACCTGGAGAGGGTTCAAGTGGGTCACGGTCATCGACGTCTTTAGCAAGGTAGCTATGGCACACCAGGTCATGGACAAGTCTGCCAACGCAGTTGCGGAAGCCCTACAAACCTGGGTGCAGTTCTACGGGGTCCCCGAGAGGATCACATCGGACGGTGGTAGGGAGTTTGACAATGCCGCGATTAGGGAGGAGGTGAAACGACTAGGGATTCGTTGGCATTATAACACCCCGGGACATCCTAAGGGTAGAGGCGGCATTGAGCGGTTGCACAGCACGCTGAGTGACCACATCCGGGTGTATCAGGGGGAAAAAGGGTTGGAGCCGGATGTTGCAATGAAGAAAGCGGTAACAGCCTACAACCACTCGATTCACTCCGTCACGGGATTTTCGCCCGTGGAAGTACTATTCGGGATGCGCAGGCCAAGGCGAGATTGCGGGGAAACAACGGTTAATGAACCATTAGTCGAGCAAATCCAGAGCAATAGGGTGGAGGTGGAAAAGACGTGGGGAAGAGTAACGGCGAAAATTAAGCGGGAAAAGGAGAAGCGGGTAGAGAGGCAGAATGTTCGCGTACGTGACCAAATGGGTGATCTAAAGATCGGGACAATAGTGTACCGTAGAGTAGGGACCAACAGAGGGAAACAATTGTTACGATACGAGGGTCCATTCAGAGTGATTGCTATTAGGGAGCATAATCTACTAACGATCGAAAGCGTTAATGAACCTAGAAAGAGGAGAACGGTTCACATTGAACAATTGAAGCTCCCAATGATAGAACCGGAACAAAAACTAATGGATTCGTAGTACCCTCACCACGGTTTATAACAAATATGTTTTTTTTTGGTTGTCTAAGCAAAAATATGGTGTATTTTTTTTTTATGTGTAAATAGAATCATAGCAATACAGTAGAGGAAAGTGTATTATTTTTTTTTTCTTCTCTGTTTTTTTTTAAGGGTATTAAGAGTTCTGTTTTTGGAAGCAAGTGTTGTGTTTAGTTCTGTTTTTTTTTATTTCTTTGTATTATTGTATGTCTCGAGTGAGTTTTACTTTCTTTCAACTTTATACTTGTAAAAACAATTGTAAGGTGTTAAGACTGATAATCGTTAGCTCCGATCTAGGAATATCTAAGTTTCCGAAAAATCCTATTCGTAAACTGGTGGGGGGGAGATAAAGACCGGAGACCGGCGATATCAGCCTTAATGCCGTCCTGAATGTAAATAAACATATGAAATGTATATAAGGAGGATTACTAAAGGAATAAATCAGTATCTTTTCTGAAACCGTGAGTGTTGCATTTCAAGCCCTTTCCTTTCTTTTTTTTTATTGTTAGAGTCCGCCGACGCTTAACTTATATATATATATATATATATATATATATATATAGATAGATAGATAGATAGAAAAATAATTTTATTCTGGAACACAGTCCCTTGAGAATAACAAAATAGAACAAAATTAAAAGATCACATCTGGCCAAAATAAAATCAATCGAAAAAAAGAAATAATGTAAAAAAAATATAAGGTAAACATTCTATATAAAAAAAAAACGAAACTATATACAAAACAATTAATACTATGACAAGGCACTTAAAGCTATTTGCACTAGTATACACTTTTAAGAAAATAATAAAGAATTAAAAAATAAAAATGTATCAATGAATCAATCAATGAATTTGTATGTATCAAATTCTGTATTAAAATCAGCTCGAATAGTTAGCAACTATCTGACTGTTCTTGGGATACGAATTGGAATAGGAGGGTTTTGAATTTGGATATGGATGGGGAATGTCGAATTTTGATAGGGAGGGAATTCCAGAAATTGACAGAGCGAACAACAAAGGAATTTTGGAATGAGGCAGATCTGTGAGAAGGCATGTAAAGATTAGAAGGTAGAGATCTTGTGGACAGGGAATGGACTGAGGATTTGAACTGGAGAAGATTGTAGGCGTAAGAAGGACGATGGCTGTTGATGATTTGGTAGAGGAACGTACCTAGGAAATATTGTCTTCGGAAGGAGGAGAAAAGCCACTTTAACTCAGCATAGTGGTGAGAAACATGGGAGTATCTTGGGGCCCCGATCACAAATCTTACACAGCTGTTCATTAGCTTTTCAGTCTATCACGGAGCTCCACAGAGAGGCCATCATACACCACACAGCTATAGTCAAAGTGGGGGAAAATGAGAGAGAAAACTAGGAGTCTACGCGTATGTTGAGGTAGGAGATGTCGGAAGCGATGGAATAGTTTGAGGGTGGAAATTGTCCGTCGAGAGATATGAGAAATATGGTGATTCCAAAGGAGGTTTTGATCAATGAAAAATCCTAAGTTTTTAACAGAGGAGTAGAAGGAGATTGGCTGGTCATTAAGGTGAAAGATGGGAAAGTCTGGATGGGATCTAAGAAGGGGCTTGGAAACCTGAGTTTTGGCGGCATTTAACCTTAATCCATTTACATTTGCCCAGGCACTGATTCGATCTAGGTCTTCTTGGATCTTGGCAAATGCCCCCAGTAACTCAGGAGGGGAAAATGATAGGCAGATCTGTGAATCGTCTGCATAAAGGTGATGGGAACAATGGAGAATTGATTTAGGTAGGTCGTTAATGTAGGAGCTGAAAAGGAGAGGAGATATGCTTGAACCCTGGGCAACTCCAGAGGATAAAGAAAGGAAGGCAGATAGTGGTTGGTTGGGTATGGAGACTGCTTGGGTACGTTGTGAGAGGAAAGATTGAAACCAAGAGATGGAACTATTGGAGAAGGATAATAATTTCAGTTTGTTGAAAAGGATGGAATGGTTAATGGAATCGAAGGCTTTGGAGAAGTCGAGAAGGATAAGGATGGTTAACTTTTTATCATCTATTGCAGTTTGAATGTCGTTGGTGATTTTAATTAAGGCGGATTGTGTGGAGTAGCTGGCATATTTATATTTATGCATATAAATATGCATCCTAATCCTACCTGTCCATTTAATCTTATTATTATTATTATTTATATTTACAACTTTATAAAAAAAATTCACTAGTAAATTCGTACATCGATATAATGACATGAAACACATGATGAGAAACTACCCACCGGTAGAACTCTAATAATATGTCTAGATAAGGAGATCACGAGGCCGTCTTATTTTCAGATGCCTCAGAGGGTTATCAGGAATTGAAGAGGAAACAAGGTTGGAAACGATCTAGATTGGACCAAATTGGAAACATATGGAACATTAAGATCTTTATAAATTATTTTATTTGTGACAAAGTAAAGCGCATTGCGAATTTTACGATACACATTTTTTACCAAGGATTTTGGATTTAAGGGTTGGATACTAGAGGAATTTGATGGTTTAGTGGAGCCCCATAGCTCAACTCCGGAAGTACAAATAGGTCTTATTATAAACATCTATATTAGTATTTTGTAATTAAGTGGAAATTTAGATAGTTTGTCTAGTAAGTGTTGGAGTAAACGGAAAGTTTCTTGTCTTTTCAATTTTGCATGAGAATTCCATGTGAGTCGTGTGTCCAGGTGGAGGCTTAGGTAAGGGATTTGTTCAACTGCGAAAAGTGAGGAATTGTTAGAGGATACTGTAGGACAGGAGGTCATAGCTTTGCGAAGCAGGGTGAAGGTAATTTGATAGGATTTAGTTTAATTCTCCAGTTTTTATACCATTCTTCAAGGTTTGTGATATGTGATCGGAGAGTTTGGGATGCAGTTGATGCATCATTATTAACAGATAGGATGTATGCGGTCATCAGCATACGGGGTGATGATAGTGTCAGGATGGATTGGGATATGAGCTGTATAAACTGTGTAAAGGATAGGATCAAGGATGCTACCTTGAGGAACTATTAAGATAAAAAAATTTAAATAATGCATAGGTATATCTGTGGTACCTGTGAATTTTGTGTTGTGTGATATTGTGAATTTTCATGAATATTAATAGAAAGCTCATTTTTATTTATTTCTTTGTGTGTAATGGGCTATGTTTTGCAGCTATTATAGAGATTAATATTCCTAATTGAATCATGGGTTGAAACTCGAAAATTGAACACACCAATGAAAATTCCTATTTACTGTGTCCATATTAATCACAGGTTCCAACTGAACTTTTGGGCACAGTAAATCAGTCACTATCAATCGAATTAAAATTTATCACACCAATCATCTATTATTCATATAATATATTATACATACACTTATACGTAAATGGCAATAGATTGATTACAATGAAATTGTATTTCAGAGGTCCTGCCAGATGGGCCAGGTTAGGAGAATTGGATTTCAATTCCACTTTGGACGACGCTAAACCAGTCGACAAGACCATAATCGAGAGGATCCGACACCCGAAATACAAACCAAGCCAGCTATATCATGACATTGCCCTCTTCAAATTGGATAGTGATGTTGTTTTTAATATTTATACATATCCAATATGTCTCCATAATAAGCGAGAGATAACCTCAAAGTTTGCTACTACTATGGGCTGGGGAAGGACTAGCGAAGGTAAGTTCCAACCCTGACATTTATCTTTACTATAATCAAATAAAGTAACGTTAATACGAAAAATTATTAGCCCGAAGTTGCCCATGAAATGGGACTATCCTACAAACCTTATCATCCAAGATACAAAAACATACACCCAAGTGAGGGGGTCAGTAACCTTGGTGCAAAATATGATTTAACATGACCCCTTGTTCTTACTACTTGGGAAATAGGATGATCATAACTTCTTACGATACGCATCTGCATAGACTTTTATAAGGATTTTAAATAATATTTTTAATATGCTGTAGTTATAATTATCCGTTTGTTATCATGTTTATAGAGGGACCCACTAGCTCCAAACTTCTTGAAGCAAAAATCGAAATCTACAATGACACAGAATGTATGAGGCTGATGTCCAATGAATGGATTAAGCTCCTTGCGCTGCGGGGTCCTGACGCTGAACAGATGATTTGTTCCGGACTGCCCGATGGAAGCAAGGATTCCTGCGCAGTCAGTATCCTTAATTTTGTGATTTAAACAAAACAACAATGAATTTTGCTATGTATATAAGTAATGAATGTTTTTCATATTAATTTATTGTTTTCATTGTTATAATTATGACCAACTCTATTTGTATGGGACATTCCCCGAAAACAAATAAAATATTCACCCATTCTTTAGTTATTGCTTTCGATTCGATAAAAAACAGACATACTTAAAAACCCATAAAACTTAGATTCTGCTGAAAATTGGCCCATAGTTTATATGACCTTTTTTGTAAATTTTGAGGTATACTATTTAAAATTTAAAAACCATTATGTTTATTTTTAAATAAAATTTGTTTTATGCAATAATGTTTATTAAAATACATCCCATATCACCGAAAGTTTTTTGCAAAGGTGTGTAAATGTAGTACAGTTGAAAGGTGAGAAAATAAATCATAAATAATTTATGACTTTTTTAAACCCAGTTTAGCTGTGTTTAGTCGCTCAAAAGTCGTCTTTAAATTATTGTAACAATGGCAAACTCTACTCTCTTTTAAAGTAAATTTTGTCTAGTTTACTGTGGAGCACGGTTAATTTAATTACTTCAATCAAATAATTTTAAGTTATCGCTTCCTATTCAACAAAAACGTGACTCACTTAAAAAAAAAAAACACACAAATCTTAAATTTCCTATTTTCGTCGGCCAATCGTTTGTAACTTTTTTGTAGAACTGTATTTCTACTATCACTCTTTTAAATATTCTCTCCTGCTTAAGAGACAGCCTGATATATATGAGTGTGTGTGTATAAAATTAAAATTCAAATCTATCTTTTTTAGGGTGATTCTGGTGGTCCCCTTGTGATAGAAGAAAGTAAACTCTTCAGGACTCAAATAGGGATAACATCCTTTGGAAAGGGATGCGGAAATAAAAACTATACAAACTCACCTGGTGTGTACACCAGGGTCTCCAATTACATATCCTGGATTAAGGAAGTAGCTTTCGGAGGCGGTAATATATTTTAGATTAAAAAATAAATAAAAAACTTATCATTACATTTTTATTATCATTTTATATATTATCACGATTTAGTTTGAAAAACTTTGAATCGAATTTATATAATTTTTCGTGTTGTATTTTATACTTTTGTTTAATTATATCAACGGTGAAACACATTTTACAATTTCCTCAAAAACGGCTCTAACGATTTTGATTAAACTAGGTGTATCACTGTATAATTAAGTGGTCTTTCATATCATTAAATCTTATCCTTGTCGATGTCGCTTTAAAGAGCTTAAATGAGCAATGTTCATATGCGTCTTCCTCTGAAGTACGTTAAATATGGTTTATTTTAAATAATTAACTATCTCTCATTAATAAGAGTGACACAAAAATGCTAAATATAACTTTTGAATGAATTTCATAATTGTATAAAGGTAAAAAAAATAAAAATGCTTATCCAGGTCGAAAATGAATCTCCGGAAATATTAGTCAGATATATCGTATAATGTATCGTTGGAAAGCGGAGCATTTTAGAAAAAACAATATCTAATATAGAACGTAACGGAGAATGGCAAAAACATTATAAATAATAGTTTTTGAAAAGTAATAATATGTATTTAACGTAAATCACATGTTTCCAAGGAAATTAAATGTAATTTACTAACTAAATGTAACCGTTTAAAATATTTTGAAGTTTGAAAAAAAATATTTAAAATCCATCTAATCAAGGCAATGATTTTTTTAAAAAACATTTCATTGTACTTGTGTGAAAGAAAAAGTAAAATATTGTCATGTAACTTTAAAATAAATTAAATTACTGAATAATTTGATGAATCTTCCCTTTGCGATATTCCAACACTACTCACTACTATTTCATTGTACTTGTGTGAAAAAAAAAGTGAAATATAAAAATGTTTCATGGATACGTTTATAACCTTAAATATATTTACTGTAGTTTAATAACTCTAGATCTGATAAAATATTTATATATTTTAGTATCTATCGTCCGTTTATTCTGAAAAAATTATCATGCAACCTTTTACAATTAATTAATTAATTACAATTAATTAATACAATAAATTAAATTAGTGAATAGTTTGATGAAATTCCCTTTTGTGATATTCCAACAGTATCCACTTTATTTTAGTGGACAACTTTTAATCTGTCTATGACAAAAATTTGCAACTGTTAACATTTTTTTTTTTATCTTTTATAATATATCATTATTTTATTTTATTTAATTATTTTTTTTAAATCAAGTAAAATTTCACTTTTAGAGATGTTCAGGATGACTGCGGCGTCTTCCCAAGAACTGAAGCTCAAAGAAGGTGAGATCTATATATAGAATAGAATATAATAGAAAAATAATTTTATTCTACATATAATATTATATATTGTAGTAATGTATATCTATATTAATATATCTGTATTAGTATGATTCATTAATTCGAAAAACCTTAGTCATTATAGATTGTAGCGACTAAACTAATATACGGACTTTAAAGAAACTCGTTCAAAGTCTTCTTTGAAGCTCTATTAAAAACCCAATTACCTTATTTTATCTGATGCTAGGATTTCAATGCTATTAAAATATATTTCAGAGAAAATATGAGTGAATACTACATACACTATCTTATTTTATTTATTTTAATTTTCCAACATGTGGCTCAATTAGCAATATCGTCAAAATAATTTTGAAAAGTCATGGATTCTCGAAAAAATATTTTATCTGAGCTTAGAAATGCGATGTCATCGGCAAAAGTAGCGCATTAATAAAGTAAATAATATTGGTCCAAGGACAATAACCTGAGTCACGCCTGCTCCTACTGTCAGAATGTTCTGTTCCTACTTTTACTACGAAATGTATAGCTAAGTATGCAAAGAATATTAGATAATGGATCGGAAGATATAAAATTTTAAGTTAAGGAAAGCAATCCTTCATGTCAAATTTTATAAAAAGGTTCACTGTGTCAAGAAAACTCCATGACAAAGATTTTTAGATTCTAAAGAATTTGAAATATGATGTATTAATCGATGAGAATGTTGAACATTACTTATTGAACGAAGGTGAGCGATTATTACTTATTGAGAATATTGAACGATACTATCAGAAACCGAATTGATGATTTGGAATAAATATCAAGGGCAACAAAGCGTCGAAGAATAATTTTTCAAATAATAAAAAATCAAATTTAAAGTAATTCATTTAGAAAATGAAGAAAGAATCTGGAGAGTTTGAGGGTTTATTAGCTTTTAATACCATGGCAACTTGAGAATATTTCTATTGGGTCGGGAAATGAGTAATTCTCAAAATATAATTGTATATATTTGTCTGAAAAAAAGATTGCTTTCCAAGATAATTTTGTAATAATGCAATTTCAAATTAATTTAAATCCCAGAGCGTTATTTATAAGTAAACTCTACCTAAAATTTTGAACTTCGAAAGGATGCATTGATTTTGGTGATAATGTCATAACGTGAGTTAAATTGATTTCGAGCGATTGAAGAAGATTGTTTGTCATTTACATCATCGTGAAGTTTAAATGTTTCTTTGAGGTGGCAAGCAAATAATTGCGCTTTTTTAGCGTCTTACTTTTCCCAATAACCATCAGGAAACCTGAGAGAATGAGAGACATCATGATACTGAAGAATCGGTTTTATCATACTCCAGAATAGTTTCTCACAAGTTGATAAACCATCCAAGATGTCAAAATCGTCCGTATTGGTGCGTCTTATTTCTTTGTGAAGTTGTCAGATTAGTTTGTTAAACTTGTGTTTGTCAGGTGGCTAACGAGTTCTTCGCCATTTTTTACGAACTTTTCGTTTTAGTACGATAAGGTGGAATGTAATTCTGGTTATGTTAGTCTGTCTTTTTGTGTAAAATGTTGGAAGCTCAGGCCAAATTTTGTATGGATTGTATTAGATGTTGGACAGCGTCCTCCAAGTCTCAAGCTGTTGTATATTAGTTTTGAGTAATAATGATTTTTTAATGGATTATCTTAACTTTTCCAGGCATGTAAAGTTTTCAAATGTTTTTTTAAGCTTGAAAAATGTATTTTAAACCTACCAAATCAAGGCAATGATATTGTTTAAAGTACTATTTCGTTGTACATGTATGAAAGAAGAAGTGAAACATAAAAATATTTCATGAATATGTTTATAACGTTTCATAAATTTACTGTAGTTTAATAACTCTAGATCTGATATTATATTTAAATAGTTAGTCATCAACCGTCCGTTTATTCCTAAAAATCATCATGTAAACTTTTATAAATTTAATCCGTGAATAGTTTGATTAATTTTCCCTTTGTGATATCCCAATAGTATCCACTAACGATTAGTGTGACAACTTTTGACCGATCTATGACAGGCAAATCACGTTATTTCGTATTAAACATTCGTTATTTATTAAACATTTCTGTGGAAAATAACAGTTTAATAACTAATAGTCGTACAATAAATAATCAACGGATCATACAATCCATAATGAACGGATCGTAAAATTAAAAATCGTATTATTATTAATCAACCGTTGATATAATAAATAGAATTTTTATTATTTTACTGGTATTGATCATTTGTTGGTTGTAAGTTTTAAGCTCAAGCTCAGTTAAAAATGCACTTCAAAAATTTTATAATAACCTATCATTGCCAGAAAATAATTTCTATTCAAAGTAGAGCGGTAAGTAAAAGTTCTGTGTTGCGCGCACCAGATTTTTTATATTAGTTTTCTTACCTGACTTTCTTATTGTTTGCAGGAGAAATGTGTCAGCCTCCAAACGGAACCCAGGGCATTTGCACCCTTCAAAGCAAATGCCAGACTATCAGAAACTTGAACCTGAGCCGTCACCTAATCTGTTCCTTCAAGGGATTTGAACCGATTGTCTGCTGCCCCAACAACCTAACAACAAAGATTAACCAGGGGAACAAGGTGGAGCAATGTATGAGTATTTTGTTTGAGTTCATATTGGATGGTTTGAGTACTCCTTACTTTTATTGCTATAGTAGTTTCAGTTGCTATAATCTATTGTACATTACCAATAACGCAGAAAAAAACAAGATTGAAATAAATAAGTCATTGTTATATTGACTAGCTTTCATACCGTCTCTAATACTGAATTTAGGTTTTTATCCCAAAACCAATATGACTAAGTATTTAGATTAAAATAGACAACAAAAGTAGTAATGTTTATTAAATAGTTTGAATAATAAACCAGAGAATGATATGTTTGATTTAGGTGTCACAACGTTTTCTAAAGGATTCAGTCAGTAGTTTTGGCTATAATTGTATGCAGAATGGTTTATAGACCCCTTTTTATCACTTTATCAACACTCGTCTAAAACTTCATTTTATTGGAACCTGCAACGTTTTATTTACGAAAATTTTCGTAAAGTAGACGTTTTCATTCTGGAGATCGTCGAACATGTGGATTTAATGAGTTACTAAAAAGTCGAAAATAACCGTTTGCTTCTCATTTGATTCGTAAGATAATTTGATTACAAGATCAAGAAAAAAGCATTTCTGCAAAAATATTGCTAGACCTAGATTTTTAACGCCACCACCAATATCATCAAAATCGGACCATTGAATATTATTACTAATGTACATAATCCAATGGAACTGTATCGATGTTAAATCTCACTTTAACGACCTGAAATTTCTAATGAAAAATTTCAGAGCCTTTTTTGTTTACGCTTCGAAGAAACTCGTATGAAACCATAATATCAGTTTACTTTGAAATGATTTGATATTTTCATAAACGGTAACCATACACGGAACCGTACCATGCATCAAATGGACTTTTTTGTTAGAAATTTTGTCTATAACTACTCCTTAGAATTAGGGGTATAAGAACGTAGGCACGCTTTATTTGAGTAAAGCATATGTTTAGAAACCCAAATATATTTACTGTAATTTGAGAACTTTAGATACGATAATATATTGAAATATATTTGTATAAAGAAAAAAACTGACTACAGAAATCAGGAAATTCTATCCATCCTAAAAGAATGTAATTCCATATCGACTTAAACATATTGGTAGATCAATAGAGAAATTTACATCAACGAATATTTAAAGTTGTGATAGTGTGTGCCTTTCACTTCTAAGACATTGATATAATTTCTCAATTTTCGTATTGGTTCTTTTTTTTTTTTAGTTTAAATATTTTTCATTTTTGGATTTTGTATATCGTCTACAGCGATGTTAAAGTAACGAATGTACTACGATTAATAGGCTCACTTGCGTTACTTCAACATGGTCCTGACGATATGATCACATGATATCATTTCAAATCAATTAATAATAGATATACTTAAACTATAATATTTTTTTTTTTCAGTATTTTGAGCTCAGGTTTCAAAACATTCACGAAATTCAACTAAGTAATTATAGCCTTCAAAGATACAAATCGATCATGCCATAAAAAAAAATCGCGGATTCATTAAGCAGTGTGCTAATTCAATCCGCGATTTTTTGTAAATTGTTTACACAGTAATTTGCCAGAAATTTGAGGTAAAATTCTTTTAAAATACTCACAGGATCTCATCGAATAATTTATGATATCGAACTTAAAAATCGATCCAACCACAGAATCGAATATCGTGTAATATCGAGGTATAGCTTCTTTACTCTCAGTGACTAACTATGTTCTTAGTGAGTGAACTACGAACCAAGGCTCCTAGGTGCTAAACTATACTAGACCATTATTTATTTGATATAAAATCATTGCTGAAGTAATTTTCCAAAAAAAAAAAAAATGTAAAATTATTGCTTCATTCAATTTTTTGGATTAGTATTGCCATTATTACTATTGAAAACAATCAATTAAAAAGTAAATAACTTAAATAATAGTAGCAATCTGTTGTTTGTTTATAGTTTGTACGCTGTTGGATCGTGAATACCCCAATATTGACAGCTTGAGAAAGGTGTTGGGTGGTAAAGAGTCTTTATCTAGGAAACATACCTATATGGTAAGGCTTTATTAAAATATGGGTCTATTCTATGCTTTATCTACTTATTAATATTTCATGTTGTAATATTATATGTTTTCCTATTATATTTTTTGGAAGCCTTGTTCTGGGTACCCATACGGTAGCAAGGCGACAGAAAAATATTTAAGCAGCACATTTTTAGGGGAATTTTAATTAATGAGGTAGTCCTATTTTACGGGATTTTGAACTAGTGAAGTGGGAAAATTTTTAGGCTATCGTACATTTTTAGAGAGAGTCATATTTTGTCAGGTTTCGATTCGGAGTAACATTCGGAACAAAAACCTTGAACTTATAATTATAATTTTTATAATTCTGATTTCACTTGCATCAGAACAATACATTATTTTTGAAAGGGTCACGCACCATTTATATTCCTGGGAGCAAAGGCATCTTTTTCTAGTTCGTATGAACAATTATATTTATAGGGTATTCAGTTTAAACAATAGAATAGTCCGTTTTCATGTATTTTTTAAAAAAAGTTTAATACGGTTATTAGAAGACAAGTGATAAGATATTGTAATAATTACTTATAAAATGAAATCGTTTCAAGTCGAATGTGCCGACAAGAATAGTTTTTTTATTAAAATAAAAAATCATTTTGTTTCTTATTTATTTATCATTCTCTTATAATCATTCTTTAATTTTTACAGTGTATTAGTCACAAGTTTATTTTAGATCATGTAGTTTTATGCTTTCATAAACAAAAATAATAATAATAATTATAGAGTGGACAGGGCCCAACACCTAAAAGTAAGACGAGTAATTGTTTTACTAGGAGAGAAAATCCGCCGCAGGATAACCGGAGCTATTTGCGGCGTCAGAGTACTAACACATGGAGGAGAAATAGCAATAAAGATCAGCTTGTAGAAACTGGTCAAACAATATCTCTTGATATGAAGGGGCGGAGGTTAAGATGGGCGGGGCATGGCATAATAGTAGACAAAAGAACTCGTGGAAGCTCAAGAAGCAGATGGATATATCAAATTTTTTGTAATGCTTATTAGTTTTTATTTTGTACAGAACGACTTTATCGATAGCATATATGATTTTCCTGATATAAGCTAAAAATTTGCTGGGGACATTTTGGGCCCCACCATTTTGGACCCATCTCCTAGGAGTGGGGGCTTTTCGTATGTTTACCTCCTAATTAGTCTGAATAAAGTCCGATATTTTGTTATTTCCTTATTCTTCTATAACCTCTATTTGAGCCCTCATTGGCTGAACTATTAAGAAATTCCTAAAGAGAACAACATCTATGATTTAATCGGATTTTGTCAAAAATCAGTAACTTTAATCTACATAACACCAATAATTTTTAATAACTATAAATAATAACTTATTTATTGAGCAATATTACAATCTGCCACAATTAAGGACATTAAATTAAATAAAAACATAAATTATTAAATTTAATAACATTACGTTATATAAATAATCAAATTTAAAATATATATGTGTATATGTTTTTCTGTTGGCATTACGGGACCTGTAGATATTTTGCCGCCTTAACAAGCCTGCTCCATCTCTACCTGTTTTTGGCTATTTCTTTCCATTTATCTGCATGCAGCTCTATTGCGTCTTTGTTGATTCTATCTATCCATCTGCTTTTTGACATTCTGTGTGGTATTCTGAGTTCAATTGAGGCATTCATTGTTACTTAGAGGCTCTCAGATGGAGCTACATGCCCTCCCTATTTTAACCTCCCTGCCTTCATATCATGGGATAATGATTGACCATCACCTTTATTTATATTTCTTCTGCATGTGTTAGTACTCTCATCCCAGATCGCACCGATCGCACCTAATCCCAGATCGTTCGGAGGATTTTTCTTCCAAATCTTTCAATACTTTTTTATAGGGCTCACAGTCATATACACTGACAGGCAAAAAATTCCACCCACTTGATGTTTTCATGGTTTCAAGTTGTATTTGTATATAATACATGGTATTATACTTAGTATTTATAATACTTAGTATTTAGATAATACTTAGTATTTATGGAATTTTATAATATTTGTTTACCTTTAATAATCGAAATGTGATTAGGTAAAAAAGATTAGGCAAAAAAGAAATTGAAAACGAACCATTATTATTCTAAAAGAAATTAGTTACATCATTGTTTAGTAGCACGTGTGCCCTCCTCTTGCCTTCACTACTTCTTGAAGACGCCTCGGCATACTTTCCACCAGTCGGGAACTGTCCCTTTGCTGGCGGATAGCCCGTTCCTCCGAGGAGCCCTTTCATGGTCCTGCAGTGTATCAGGAAGTGTTGCACGCGCTCTTATAACCTCGTCTTCCGGGGTTATCCCATAAATGCTCAATGGAATTCAAGTTTAGAGAAAGTGCTGACCAGGCTAAAACCTCAATATTGTTCTGTTGAAGGAACGTCTGCACTATGCTGGCGACAAGTGGGCGTGCATTATCGTGCATTAGAATAGAACGATCGCCGATTTTGTTGAGGATAGGCAACACATGAGTTTCCAAAATCTGATCAACATAGCGAATAGCCGTCAAAGACCCTCCACGAACAACAACCAATTCTGTGCGGCGCTCCATAGAAATCCTCTGGGAAAAATTACAGGCTGCATATCTTTCGTTTCTTCTTCTCCCAACCCTTTCACGACCGTCTGGAGATCGAAGAGCGAATCTTGACTCATCTGTAAAAAGTACAGCACTCCATTCGTCCATAGTCCAATGGCTGTGTTCTCGAGCAAAAGCCAGCCGTGTTGCTCTGTGAGTTCTGATCAACTCTGGTCCTCTTACTGGACGAATAGCCATTAATCCATATTCATTTAATCTTCTCCGAGAGGTACGTTCAGAAATTTGCACACCTCGAACTTCTTGGAGCTGATGAATCGCTTGAACAACGGTAAGGTGCCGGTTTCGTAAAATTTTCAAAGTGAAAAACCGGTCATCCCGTGGTTCTGTTACCCTAGGCCGTCCAGAACCGGGCCTTCTATTGTAAGAACCAGTTTCCCGAAAACGCCTGACGGCGTCTCGTAAAGTTTCATATGAAACTCCGATGGCATTAGCTGCATATCTAATGGAACGTTCATCATCAATAAGTGCCACACCACGCGCAACATCCTCAGCACGAATAGGCATTTTTAAACTTAATATTGAAAAAATTAAAAGCCGGAGACTAAGAAATGTGCTGCAAAGCACTAAGAAATGCTGAAACGGCACTGAACTAATGATACTGAATAAACATTTTGATTCCATAGAAAGTAAACATTTGAATCTAGAATCATTTCATTGAATTAAGGATTAAGTGTTATTGTCCTCTATATTAACATTCCTAATTGAAAACAAACAAAAAGATTACCTATGTATTCATTAAAAACAATAGACCAATCCATAGCAGAAATATTGTTAAATTAAAATGTGAAAAAATCAAGTAGGTCCAATTTTTTTATTTTCAGTGCATTAGAACTGGATTTATTATAGCATTGCACACCCTTAGCTTGAGATTTTTGGGAGAAGAAAGCTCTATTTGGGCTATTTTTACGCTGGACTATTTTTGACAGATGGTCATTCATTGGGCTATTGTGTAGTAGGGGTATTTGAATTTTTCTACTCTCGTGAATGATTTTCCTTCTTCGAAAATTGTGTTGTTGGTGTGGCATTGTTATTTCCTTAGAAACCACCCTGGATAGGATAGCGACTCCAGAGCCTGGTACTCCTATTTCATCATTTCTCCCTAAGAAAGAACCAACATCCTTTCCATTAAATAAGCACAAGAACCCAACCCTCCGATTGTATATATCCATAAATATTCCTTTTAAATATCATATATTTTATTTTGCCTTCATTTACTTGTAGGCCGATGTTATCTGAGACTTTCTTATCAGAGTCTCAGAGAGATTTCCAATACACTCTTGATTAATCCCAAGGACAGCTATATCATCTGCGTATCCATAGATTTTATGATTCATTCTGACGTGAATTCCTCCATTTTTCTTTGATCTTCTCCAGGGCTAAGTTGAACAACATCGGTGATAATCCATCTTCCTGCCGTAAGCCCGTTCAAACATTACGTTATATAAATAACCAAATTCAAAAACACCATCATGCCTACTCATGGCAAATACATAAGCCCGAGGAGCTAACAATTTTGAATTACAATAGAATTTATAACTTTTTTTTATAAATAATATGTGGCATGTCTGAACATTTTGCTAATTTTTGGTTTATGATTTTATGTTATTTTTTTCAAATATTGTTGAAAAATTATAACTTCAAGAATGATTTCACATTTATTTAACATAATATGACCAATTTAAATACGATATAAGCTATCTTACTTCAGCAACAATAATGCCAAACTCAATTTTCATAACTCCACACATTTCTATGTTCACGTTTTGTACCTTACACGCAAAGAGTTCCATGTAATATTTTGTTTCTCAAAAATGATCTCACTTGAATGTAATGCCTGTTTAACTTTAAAACTTGTTTTTTAGCTACTCACTCTTAGAGAGCTCATTTTATATAATATACTTCATCAATACAGGCTTTGATCGGTTATGGTGAAACAAAGAAAGAGTGGATATGTGCTGGTTCTCTAATTACAGCGAGGTATGTCTTGAGTGCTGCGCATTGTTCTGATCCTCGTATTTCGTAAGTAATCATTATTATTTTTTAATTGGATATCAAGTATTTTATGAAGCATTTTTTTTTAATTAAAAAAAATTAAATATAAAAGTTGTATATTAGTCATAATTTATTACAATACATTATGTTTTAAAGAAAAACAATAATTGATAAATTTTAGATTTTTTTTTCTAATAATACTAGAGCGAAATACAACAACACAGCATACTCATCAATCAAAATATAATGATGTATAAAAATATATGAGAGAGAGTAAAGCCGGACCATCGGAATACATATCAGATATAGTAAGAACGGTTCATATAATCTAATATGTGAAGGCCTAGATCAATATATGTAGTGATGGAGGATTTCTAATGAATCTAAAATAACTAGTCTGCATCTGCTCCCTTCCAACAACGAGGCTCTGCAAGAGATAACTTGTATCAAGAGGAATCCTTTAACTGCTTCCAAACCTTAGCCCTTTAACTAAGTATTCTCTCTCGACGAATTCATTTCTGTACTTTTTCTTCAGGTAAGATATGCATTTCGTATAAATTTCTTCTTTCTCTGCCTGTTCCTTGACGTCCTGATGTTGATCGTTGGTTTCCAATCTGACCGTGGGATAAACTAATAGTGCCTCCTTTTCCATTTCATTGAACGCCAAGATATCAATGAACCATGTAGAGCCTTCTTCCTCCAGGCAGTAAACTTCGAGGAAAAATTTATAGTTCTTTATTTCAAGGAACTCGGCTATACATTGCTTTATATTATTGTGCTGGCAGGTGACTAGAAGCATGTTATTCGGACAATTGCCCAACCCATGAGCTGGGGTTCCTGACTCTCGGCTACATTGCGGCAGAACGGGTCCAACATTGGTTAACCATAATTCCAGTCCCTGGTACTCCGCGGGGAGGAGGGTAATTAACGTTTGATTTCATAGCATTAGTCAATTCTGAGCCGGGGAGAAATTTTCTATCATAAATAAATTTATTGGTCCACGAATTAGATTTAAAATGGGACACACCGAATCCCTGCCACTTGCACTTGCTCCATTCATCAAAGGATTTTTCATTCAGGGGCTGTCTAACCTTCCTAGCTGTTAGCGACAGTTCCACACTTAACTTCGATGCCTAATAGATAAGCACACATTCTTACTTCATGTCCAAAATAAAAAATCCTCTGATACAGAGCATCTATTACATTGGCCTTCTTACAGTAAATGAACCAGTGCTGAAGAAGAACCTGCCATTGACACCTCAACAGACCCAAGCCTCTCTATCGCCGCGGTGCATCATCGCTGAGGAATTGATGGACGGTAAACCTACCACCACCTTAATATTTCTTCGTAATATGATTTCTGCAGAATCAAAGAGCGAAGGGGGCAATTTTGCGATGGCGCTGTTTGCAGTGGGTATATTAGAGATGGGAAGACGTATCCGTTTACAATATTGATCTTCTGTTCTGGCTTAAGAAGATTATAACTCACCAATTTTTCCATATTCCAAGTTATTTTCAAACTTAAACCCATCTGCCTCAGTCCTTATACCTTGTCCTCCGTTCCTACCTCTCAGATCGTACCTTCCGAGTTCGTTGTGACACTGAATTTTCAAATTGGTATCCAATTGAGACTGGTTTCCTCAAGGTAGCGTATTGAGACCCGTCCTTTACACCCTCTTTACCGCCGATATCCCTGTCTATCCCGATACCTTCCTGGCAACTTTTGCTGATAATACCGGCATTCTTTTATCCGACTCAGATCCTGATATGGCATCCTTAAACCGTCAAAGACAGCTCCCCCTGATTGAGCACTGGTGTAATAAATAGCGTATTAAAGTAAATTAATACAAATGCCAACACATCACCTTTACACTCCGACGCAGTTCCTGTCCACCAGTATACTTTAATTCCATCCAACTTCCTTACTCAGACCCAGTCCGGTATCTTGGCTTTCATTTAGACCGAAGACTAACGTGGAACCCACATACTAGACTCAAAAGACAAGAACTCAACCGACGATACGGCCAGCCATACAGACTACTAAACAGAAAATCTAAACTTTCTATTGAAAACAAATTACTGATCTACAAGACAATACTGAAACTTATTTGGACCTACGGACTTGAACTGTTGGGAACAGCAAACTTTTCTAACATCAAACGCATCCAATCCTTTTAGTACAAAGTCCTCCGAACAATAGTCGATACTCCGTTCTATGTAACCAACAAAACCCTACATCATGGCCTTAATATCCCATTTTTCCTTGACCTTATCCTTAAAAAATTGTCCAAATTCCATCAGAACCTTATAAATCATCTAAATCCCCTCGCACGAAATCTAAATCTCTCTATCTATTTCTACTCATCCCTACAATCCTCCTTGAAGGTTGAAGCGGCCCAGAGATGTTTTGTAGTATATATCTTGGAGTTCTGGCCAGATTCTCCACTCAAGACATGAGTGAATGTGACTAAAGCGCTCTCGCTCAAACTCCACTGGCTTTAGCACCAGTGACGCGGTTCAGAGAGTAGCCCATTTACTTAGCTTTATGTTATTTGATTTTTTTTATTGTACATAGTTTTTTATTATTATTTTACTTTTGTTAATTATATGTTTTCTGTATATATGGTGTGAATCTACGTGACAGATTGTTATATCTCTAAATAAATAATAATTTAAAACAAATAAATTTAATTTCAGAAGTCCAATCAAATGGGCCAGGTTAGGAGAATTGGACATCAGTTCCTCATCGGACGACGCTGAACCAGTAGACAAGACCATCATCGAAAGGATCACATACCCGAAATACATAAGATCCCAGAACTATCATGACATCGCCCTCTTCAAATTGGATAGTGATGTCGTTTACAATATTTACATATACCCAATATGTCTCCATACTAAGCGAAAGATAGACTCAACGTTCGCTACTATCATTGGTTGGGGAAGAGTTGGATTTAGTAAGTCTCAACCAATCTCTTTTTTCATTATAATAAATTTGAAAAATTTGATTCAATGAAACATTATATGTAAGAAAAAAGCACACAACGGTGCACAATTGTTGAAAATTACTGTCGAGCCACGTCTGTTTGCCCCAGGAATACATTTTTAGTACCTTTTTAATCAGAATGAAATTTTCTTTAATATGAGTAATTATCAAATTAGGCGAATCTTATAACGGCATTGTATATTTAAATGAGGAATTGTATAGATTTTCGGGAAAGAAGCTTTAAGATATGACGTGTTGTAGAGTCATGTACAGGAGCTTTGCGTGAATGATGTTGAACATTTCTGTTAAGGATGAAATGCTTTAAGTGGAAGATTCAATTGGAGTTCAATATCCGATTCTGCTTCAATACACTCAATTTGGATTGGATTGAGGATATCTGGTTTTGATAAAATGTTTTGAAAAGCATAGCTCATTTTTTTTAAAGCTTTTTTTGCGTAATAATTTCTTCTTGATATTATTGAAATGAGGATTAGATAGGCGTTGATCACCTCGGGATTTCATGCCTCTAAACCCCAAATAAAACAACAACCAACGAAATTAAAGGTTAGCACAAACAGTTATACATAAGCATCTGCGATTTTCATAAATGCCGGCGTTGATATTATTTAATATTTAATTGTATAGATTACACCAATATAAAAATTAAAACTGCTATATATTTACCAATGCTTAAATAAATGAAATATATAAATTTGCGGCCTCCATTATCAGTGGCACTTATGTCGGAATAAAAATATTTCGCAGTACTTGATTATTTATTATAATCAAATAGATAATTAAAAAATCTGGTGGCGTTCGCGTATCACACAACTTTCACTTACCACCCTCTTCTTGGCAGAAATAAGTATTTTCAGACAAAGCGAAGTGAATGTAAAAATTATAGACTCTATATTTATTTTTATGTCGTTGTGGGTATTTTTATTTGTTTATGTACCCTCATATATACAAATTTTAATATTTATATCGCTGTGATCTATACAATTAAACATTAAATAATACCAAGAATAGAATTTATGAAAACCACATATGTATATTTATATAATATTGTCGGAGTTAATTATCAAATTCTTTCATATTTCATATTAAACTATTTTTCATATTATAAATTAATGTGAAATGTTCAATTGTTTCAAATAAAAAAAAGTAAAGTTACTTTAGAGGAAGCTAATATTGAAAATTAGCCATTTAAGCCCTGCTAGAGAGCATCAATAAGGATAATAACCAAATTTTATTTAAAACTGGTTAATTTTACACTGGCATGATGAATTTAATCAAAATCGTTAGAACGGTTTTGGAGATAATAGTAAACATGTGTTGAGTCCATTATATAAAGTGCCACATCCGGATAGCTGATTTTGACGAAAAAGTTGGTGTAACGTCCCAAGCATATAAAAACCTTATATATGCAATTTCAATTCCGTACGACTTTTCGTTTTTGAGCTAGACTGTTAAAACACACACAGACATACACACACAGAGACCATTTTGTGGAACTTGGTTATTTGGACTCAGGGGACCTCAAAACGTGTATTTCCGTTGAAAACTCAGATTCAAAAATTTTCACGATAGCAATACTTACCCTTACTATATAATACATATATAGGTAAGTGAAAGTAATATACAGTCTTTAAAGACAATGATTATTTCAAACATTATTTTATACCACCTATGGTTTTTACTTTCTCTTCCTTTTGTCAGAAATTACTTATTTCTCCTAAAAGAGAACACCGGACCAAATTTTTGACACCATTATCGGAAAATAAATATGTTTTATAATTATCCTTTCATAATCATGTTTGCAGGTGATGGCACTAGCGAGAAGCTTCAGGAAGCAGATATAGAAGTATACAATGACACGGAATGTAGAAAGCTTATGTTTAGCTCGGTTATGGCCCGGACGCCGCAGGGTCATCAAGCTGATCAAATGATTTGCGCAGGAGTGCCAGATGGAAGCAAGGATGCCTGCCAAGTCAGTATCTCTCATTCTTACTTTAAAAAGAAAAAAATATATAATCAATAAAATAACAGTAATTAGACTTTAATCTAAATCAAAACTTTCCTAGGGAGATTCTGGTGGTCCACTGGTTGTGGGGGGTGTAGGTAAGTTTATCAAGACACAAATAGGAATAACATCATTTGGAAAGGAATGTGGAAGTCCAAACTCGCCCGGGGTATATACCAGGGTATCAAATTACATACCTTGGATAGAGAAAGTAGCTTTCAGTTAAGGAATCATATTTTAGATTAATATATATGTATATATATTATTCTGTTATATTTGTATTACTATCGTATGTATTATCTTGATTTAATGTAAAAAAAATGTAATTCCGACTATATAATTTTTTATCTAGTATTTAAGATGTATATTTTATATATAAATGTATTTTCACTATATACTGATTTAGTGAATTATAAAGCATAAATTCATTAGCCAAGAATATATATATATTTTTTTATTTTATTGATTCTTTCTTTAATTATTTTTAAAATGCTAAGACACTATTCAACTTAGTTTTATAAGTTGAACTATGTGAAAGGATATGTAATATCTTTGCAATTTTTTTTTTTTATGAGTTATTTGATAATCCTCAGGTTATCGAAATGGATGTGAAATACAAATTTTTATTTAATTACTTTTATTAGACTTCAAAAGTTTATATCCTAAAACGTAGCTATTTTAACATTTGTTAACTTAAAGTGATTGGGACAACATATAAAAATTGAAAGCGCAAATGATTATAATATGTGTTTTGGTTATTTTTTAGTATGTATCGATTTACAGTTGTGATAATATCGTATCCAATAAACTTCAGCGAACAAAATTTTCTTTTTTATGTTTTAATCCTTTTATCATTCCAATACTAAATCTACAACTTTGAAAATAAGTAAGAATATATAATAACACATACAGATATATATATATATATATATATATATATACGTGTATGTGTGTGTGTGTGTGAAATTTACCTACACTGTATTTAGAAAATTCTAAAACACTATCACATGGAACACCATGAATTATTTAGAAGTAACATTTGACAGGAAACTTAGCTGGGAGACTCATTTCGACACTGTAGCAAACAGAACACTAAAGACCACGGGCGGATCTACGGGGGGGGGGGGGCTTTCGGGCTGAAGCCTCCCCCCAAAAATGGTAAAATATAACCATGTTTTATCGAAAAAAATATTTAAAAAGTATCTCTTAAAGTATTATTATTCGTGTAATTACTTACATTTAAAAGGGCTTTAGGAACTACTTAAACACCATTTCATACAGGTAGTTAGTTCCTTCCTTTTTTTCAAATTAATTATCGTTATTTTTATGAAAAAAAAAATTTCGGGCTGAAGCCCCCTCCAAAATTAAATCCTGGATCCGCTATTGCTAAAGACAGTTAACGGATTAACGATTGCTGCAGGCGTTGGGACTGAAATCAGAAGCTCTAAGGATTATATTCGAATGTGATATACTTGTACTGTACCCGCTTATGAATCAGGAACAACTAAATATGTTTTTGTATGCGGTGGACTGTTTGGTAGGTTTAAGTTCAGATTAAAGAGATTAATGAATTAGATTTATTTTACAATTACAATTAGATTTGTTTTTGGAGTCTCCAGGCGCTCCCACGTCTCCAGTTGATATAACGAGCTGAAGTGGCTCAATCCAGTTTCCGACAGCAATACTTCAAATAGTATAAGGCCTACAAAATTTGAACGATTTAAAGAGAACGAAACAGTGTTTAAGGCTAGAATCGTAGGTGGGGTTATGGGCGTCGCCATATTGCCCCGGCGCTGAACCGGCATATATTATTGTATCTACTTTCCATATCTACTGCACCATTTTGGTAGATTGATAGAGAAATTGACATCAACGAACATTTCAACATGGTGTTGTGGTTGGGTGCCTTTAACTATACATTACAGCAGTGGGGTGGCTCAATGGTAGGGCACTAAGCTTCGAATGCTAATGTCAAAGGTTCGAGCCCCGGCTCATGGCAGAAAATTTATTTATCTGTTTCATTGGCCGTGGGGCGACCCTGGGACGGGAGGAAAAACTGGGAGAAACCAGGCGCTTGAGCGTGATCTAGGTCAAATCACCTACTTGCACAACCGTTGACCTAGAAACAGTGCTTTCCCTAAATAGTACTTACTCCCAGACTCTTCATGGGTTGTAGTGGTAGAGGGTTCAGGGTTTTTTTTTTTTGTTTTACAGCTCCATACAAAGGTTATATTCCAGAGAAATATATTTCGTCCGATGTATAGGTGCGTTTCAACAACGGAAATAGTCTTTAGGTGTAATAGGAACTTGACCACTACTCCAAGTTTAAATATTCATAGATGTCAATTTTCCCACTAATCTACCAAAATGCTTTAGAAGAAAAGTGTATTCCCCCATAGTGGATAAAATTTCCCGATTTCTGTAGTAACTTTTATTTTTTTTTTAATTAAGTTTTTTTTTTAATTTTTATTATTAGTTATTAAGAAATTTATAAAAATATCGCACTTATTTTGACCATGAAGGAGCAAGTTTTCGACAAAAAACATTCTATACATTTTTAAACTCTTTAAAACCAGAACAGGCTAGGTATATTAAACAATATACGAGTTAGCTCCCTCTTAGTTTATGTCAAACTTCGAATGGAGCCTAACTATTTAATTGTGATTTAATAAAAAGAAAGTGGACTGTATCTTCAAACATTTATTTTGGAACATTTACGAAATCTAATATTGAAAACATAAAAACAAAATGAATCAATTTTACACTTGTTAGATAGGTAAAAAAATAACAAACTTCTAGCATAAAATAACCCAGCTGAACAAACAATTGTGACAATATTAATGAAATATTTTCATGCTTGATCATAAAAAAAAACTATTTCTATGGCCCAAATTACAATGAAAATAAAATGAAAAAAAAAAAAAATTCTCTAGAGTCCCAATATGAAATTTATATATATATATATATATATATATATATATATATATATATATAACAAATAATTAGATTGTACAACGTTACGTGGACGAAGCAGGACGTTCGTAAACCTCTGTCTCTATGCAGAAACCAATTGTAACTCTTCAATGAGCGTGCTCAAAAAGAACTGCAAGTGGGCAGCGGCGATGGTGGCTCGGGAGAGAATTCACCTAAAGTGGACCGCAGTGGGCAGTACATCAGGCAGGCCTCAGCTATATAACGGACGGAGTCAGAGTGTCTATTGTCAATTCTACCGCCTATGACTCGAACCTAGCACTTGTTTATAGCTAGTGCTACAATCCATGACAAAGTAGTCCAAGTATAAACTATTGATCTATTTAATATAAAAAATATAAGCTATGGGCCTATAATACTTAAAATACACATATCTTATACATAAATATACATATTATTAATTGATTTCACTTTGCTGAAATAAAACAAATCAACAATTAATCAAACTAGTTAAGTGTAAAATAAAATGAATTAACGCTGTGGCGTTTTTAACTGTAAAAATAAAATAGATTAACGCTTTGGCGTTAACACCCCCCTTCCATGCACCCTGCCCTCACATCAATATATATTCTGTATCATATTCTAAATTTGATATTTTGGGTGTTTTAGGAGAGTGTAAATTAGTTCATATTTTCTGTTGTAATTTATTTGTCTAAATCATATTGTTTCAAAAAGAACATATGTTTTTATTAGTTAGTATGTAAACAAGTTTTTGTTTGTGTTAATAAATGAATTAAAACATTTATTTTGATTTATATGTTAAGAATATAATAGTGGCGTTGCGGACATATAGAAAAGAATATACATGCCTCGAAAAAGAAACGTAAACATCGTAGAAACGGAAGATTTAACAGAGAAAGAAAATGTTGCAATACAAAAATTTAAATTTTCATCGTTCGATCCAGAAAAAGAAGACTGGGAATATTACGAAGAGCGATTTACGATTGAACTGCGAATTCGTGGGGTCAAGTCACGTGAGAGACAAAGGGAGACTAGCCAATATAGTACCCAAGTCGTTCAAAATACTTTTTGATCACTTCAGACCAAATAAGGTTAGTGAGATGTTCTTAAAAAAATTATTAATCACGTTACGTTCGTATTATATAAAAAAAATATTGCACACTAAGCGAACGAGTAATTTTCAACAGACGTCGCAGAAATGAAAGTGAATTCATTAGTGTTTACGTCAATAAATTAAAATCACTTGTAGGGAAGTGTAAATTTGGAGACTCCTTAGATGAACAATTACGGGATCAATTGATTTTAGAGATCAGCGACAAATACTGGTAGGAAAAGCTCTTAGAACGGCATCCTGATGTCGACTCTACTTTTACAGATGTCTTAGCTACAGAAGAGCTACTAGAGAGGAATAAATGGGATCATCGCACACTAGAAACATTAGAGAGTAACGAAATAACCTCCATATCTAGAATACAATCGAGAGCTACAGAACCACCATACATACAACATCTTGAGGTTAGTTAAGGGAAAACACTGTTTTAAGTGTGGAAATTCGTTTCATTAGGACAATCGACCATGTCCAGCTGCAGGAAAACGTTTTTTTTGAATGTAATGGAAAAAATATTTCGCGAAAGTATGTTTCAAAGCAGGACGGGCCAAAGTAACAAACGCCTATTCTTCACACAAATTGGCCCATGTCAAAAACGACGGTAGTTGTTCTGATGAATCGGACACAAATTCGTATCTGGGTAAAATACGAAATGTTTCACACGGAACAAAAGTGATGCTTGACGTAGCGATGGAATGTAGGAAATCAGGTATACTTAAAGGGAGTAGGTGATGGAAGAGGGATTGGTGTACAATGACAGCAGTACCAGCATGTGCTTTTCCGTCAGGGTGGTCAGTACGATATGTCGGGTATTGTGGTATTTTGAAGTGCTGTTTAGTGGTTAGTCGAGTTTCAGTAATTAGTGCCACATCAATGTTCTTGTCAAGCAGTAAAGTAGATAGTTCGTCTGTATGATTTCTAACACCATTCGAATTCCAAAGGAGAATTGATATAGGTTTATTGGAAGTCATTTAAGGTTTTTCGGGGGAGGGATAAAATGTGATACAAGATTGGTGAGAAGAGATATCAAAGGAGGAACAAGTGATCTGAATTCGGAGAGGAAAGATGTAAGTAAACTGGTGAGATCGGTGGTATTTGGTGGAGGAGGAATGTGAGGAATTTGTTGTTGATAAAATTGTTGATGATTAGGTGAAGTTTGATTAGGA